GATGATGTGTGCCATATGCATCTCTCACTCCACCCACCACTCCMTCCACTGTTCTTTCTCTCTCTCTTTGTTTTTCACTAAATGAAGATTCACTAGTGTTGTTCGTCATCAACTTGAACATAGCCCAACGAATTAAAGTACTTATGTCGTATTAAGAATTCGGATTTGGCCCTAATCATCCCTACATTCTTCTACGACTTGTTTGCACCACCTTCTARTTCTGAGCTACTTAGAAGAACGTAAAYCATCCCTACAGACCAACATGAGTCATTCCAGCATGCTTTGTCCTCACTCACATGCTTCCTACGTTTGAGTTACCAAAATTGAAGGTACACTTTGTTAGTATAGGTAGTAACTATCAATTATTTTAAGCATTTTTTTACCATTCTTCCATGATCTCATGATCTCTCTCATTCGGATGTGGTATCGGTTCATTCATGTACCCCTCTTCTCTACACAGGCGTCACATGCCTATCAGCTTCCGCCTTCGTTCGTCCCCGAACCACATCGTAATGAGAGAGGTTCCGCTATGATACCATTCTGTAACACCCTAGGCCCAGAATTGATTCTGAATCCTGGGCTTGGAGCGTTACAATTTTGGACTTTGTATTTTTTACTTTGGTTCATTTTATTTTCTATACTTTCAAGACATTATACTTATACTTTCAAATTTTGTCCCTTTTAATCATTGTACTTTCAAAATTTATGTTTTAGTCTTTGTACTTCTAAAAAGTAACCAATTTGATCTCTATTATAAAATCTTAACACAAATTTTATATACAATAGAAACTCTTAATACAAATTTATGACTACATTTCAAGAAATTTAGTGAGTGAAGTGCCGTGTTAAAATTATGATTGAAAGAAATGAGATAAAAATGAAAATGAACATGTCAAAATGGTGCCTTAGAATCAAAATAAGCACTACTTCGGCTCTAAATCGTATTCTTGTTGGTTGCTTCCCAAGGTTAACACAACCTCAACTCAGATGTACACTTGCTGGAACAAAGCTAAAAAAATTTTGAGAAAAAACATCATAAAACAAGAGGGAGTACTTTTTGTGAATCTTTTTTTTTTTTTTGGAGAACAGAGCAGAGGTATATACAATAGCCGAGCAAACAAAAACTTTTGAAGAAAATAATTTACGAAATTAATGAATAACGTTAATAAACAAACTTCGACCTATTGCGCTTCTCGAGATCTCGACACATGAGGAGGTCAAGCTTCGAGTTTTGTATGTTGGCGAGGATCTCTGCCACGGAGACATTTAAGGGCGTGAAGCGCTCGAACCGCTCTAGTTGGAAGCATTTCGCTTCCTGCCTCTGGAGCGAATTGCGATCGCCTGTTGGTACTGGAACGACGTCCTCCTTGCGTTGTCTCGACCCCTCCTTTCCCTCGAGGGGCTGGATCAGATTGGTCGGTCTTCTTGAGATTTGATGAGTTTGTTGGCCTACATGAACTTTCTCGCTCACTCTATGGTGGCCTTGATGGTCTGCTGAGGCTTTTTTATCAAAGACCATCAGCTATTCATGTCTCACCCCTAAAGCGAAGGCTGAACAGGCGAGGAGATATCTGGTGGAGTGTTAAGTCTCCTATTGTGCCGCAAAATGAGCGATAAAGGTTTCACAGAGCTACTTCCAGGAAGAAATGGAGTGGGGCATGAGTTGCCAGTACCACTTCCTAGCCGAGCCTTGCAGCGTAATGTAGAATGTGCGACACTTCATCGCGTCCGAATATGCATGAAAGTCCATGAGAGACTCTTAAGTTTCGACGTGGTCCATCGAGTCGGCCGACCCATTGTACTTGTCAAAACTAGGGAGCTTCCCTTTGGAAGAGATTAGTGTGGTTAAGATGGCTTGGGTTAAAGGCGGCTCTTCCGGCTCGTCGTCGTCTAACAGAGGCCTTCCCTGGGCCTTCTTTAGGTCATTTTTGATCTCTTCTTTTAGCTCCTTCCTAAGTTGCTCGAATTGCAGCTACAACTCCTAATTATTGACCGACTCCGATTTGGTCGGTCGTTCAACCTTCTTGACGGAGTACTTCTAATTTAGTACTTTTCGGAGATCTCTACTATTATGCGAGGAGAGGTGTGAACGGAGGTCGTCATTGGCTCGAGCTCGATCGTTTCCTCTCAAGATCAGTTTCGAGGGGTTCGGGCCTACCGACTTCTCTAGATCTAGGTCGATGACCTTTACCTTACCCCTCCTCGGATCACGTTGAACCTCGAGTACTGGTAGCTCGGGGAGCAGCACTCCCACCACTTGCAAGGCTTCCGTCAGGGCCGCCACCTAAGCTCTCATGTATCCACCTCGTCCTGGGGGTCTATGGCCACCTCTATTTGGATCTGAGACCTTGACCTCTGCGAGTCCACCCTAGTCTTCGGCTTTCTAGCGACTAGTGGCTTGTACACTCCAGGTCGTGCCTTTGGGTCCTTCGGATCGGGTGATCGTCCCCAGCCCTCAGCAGGCTTTCGATTGCTTGAGGTTTGGGAACCTTCTGCCATAGCTTATGGATGTAAAACGATCTGGCTATGACAGCATTCCCCACAGACAACGCCAACTGTTGATGCAAAAATGTGTCTAAGTCTCGGGATGCRACCTGTAAGGTCGGTGCTTGGTGTTCAGAGCGAGCTCTTTCTGAGGTATCTACAAGAACAAGTAGGATACTCCGATGCCCAAGTTAGTTTGGAATCCGAGCTTAGACAGATCAGCCTCAGACAAATTTTCATATATGTGTTGGTGGATGGATGGTGTATTTATAGTGGTCAAAGTAGTAGTTACCCGTCCCATCGGGGTATTTCCCTGCTCAGACTAGATCCATTCCATGGACTGTTGGACCATGGGTGTCCCCCGATCCTTCAATGCTTCGTGATGGGAGTTTCGCATGCCCTAATCTTTGTCTGGGTATTTGGCTCCGACCTGCCAGGTCGGGTTTGGTTGATATTACCGAATAGATCGGCCATTAGAAGTTTGCCTCCCAACACTATATGAGAGTGAATTATGGTTGTGCTCCTCAAGTATTTTGAGAGAGAACTTTTAAGCAGTATTAATCTTACATTCAAAATAATAATAAATTTATTTATGCTCGGCTTCTGATTTCTTTTAAAAGTATTTTTACATTACTCTTGAATATGGTAATTGTACAAGAGATGCTTTTGGCATAGAAAAAGTGCTTTTGACACTCTCTGACATACTTTTAGGGAATGATTAAAAACAATTTAATATTTAGTTCTACCATTTAAAAATATTTTTGAACACTTCAATCAAAACATTCTACCAGTACTTTATTACAAATTAATTTTAAGGTAATTTTTAATTTTTTTTACAAATTAAATTTAAGATTTTTTTTTTTTACAAATTAATTTTAAGGTGATTTTTAATTTTTTTTACAAATTAGTTTCAAGGTAATTTTGAATTTTTTTTTTCAAAAGCACTTTAATGTTAGTACTCTTGATTTAAAGAATGGAGTACTTTTTTACTATGGCAAATTTGTTTTTTCCATGCAAAGCACAAAATTTTAGACAAAGAAAAAAATAAATAAGTTTTAAATTTTTTTTATTACAATTTATTTATAACATTTAAAAGAAGTAGAATTGGTTGGTTGTCTCTCAATTGTTGGATTCCATGTTCCTTCCGACAATGCTTTAAGCTTTAAGGAGAACGGAACAGCAAATACATATTTATTTTCCTTAAGAAGTCTTTTTCTTTATTTTAAAAAGTTCAAACTTAAAATAATTACAAAAACAGTCAATAATATATTTTAGATGAGGTAAATTGATCCTAACAAAAAGTCATTTTTTGCCCAATTTTAATTAACCAGTCATAAAGCATCAACTAGATATATTTATATTTTTTTACTTTCATTAAATTACAAATATGACTAAAAAATATATTTAGTTTCCTTCTCTCAGCTTTATTTTGTAACAATTTAATCTTTTTAGTTTAAAATTTTAAAGATTTAATTATAGAATTTAAGTTTTTATCTATTTACTTCTTATATTATTTAAAATTTGAAATGATTTAGTTCTTATTATGAAAATTTTTCTATACTTTTATTGGAGTAATGATTTGGTTTAGTATATACAATTTAATCATAACCCTTGAATTTTAGTATTTAACTATTTAATTCTTATAGTTTAAATTTTTGTAATAATTTAGCCAGTACAATGAAAATTTTCGTTAAGGTGTAATGTGGGTTTAACGAGACAACCACCTTAATCCCAACTAACCCATCATTTTTTTTATTTTATTACCTAAGAGTCGGCGACCCTTTGGCCTTTTTTACCCCTATATACACACACGCACGAAACCTAGGTGGTTATTACGTCAAATCCCACACATATACATATACATATATACACGCACAAGACCTAAGTGTGTGTATATATATACAACCTAGGTGGTTATTACATCAAATCCCAATCACACTTTAATGAGATTGTGAATATAAAGAGTAAATCATTACAAATTTGGAATTAAAAGAGCTGAATTATTAGCTTCTATAGTTTGGACTAAATCGCTGAAAATTTTAACTAAATTATATCAAAGTTAAAAATTTATTTAATATATTTTTAACTTTTTAGCCACTTAATAACAAAATATATATTGTTTTATTACAACATACCATTTTGGATATAGATTCACACCCTATACTTTAAAGAAATGTCTTACTTGCAAACATTTCTATAATTTTTWTTATTATTATTATTTTAGGAAAAAAGGGACATGGGCAGCTCAGCTTGAGTCTATGACAAATTCCCTTTGAGTTAAAAAAATCCAATCCAATCCAAGTTGAATTATATATAGTGAGTGAGAGGAGGAGCCTGCTTGTTTTGACTTTTGACCATTCAAAACAGTGTCAATTTGTGTTTTTTTCCTTCTTTTTTCTGTAATATCATACATTGACTTGTTCAAAACCATAGTCTTGATTATTCACTGTAATGGCCATCAAAATTCTTGGGTTTGCCCAAAATTCAAAAGTTCTTATTATTTCACATGGATCTGAGCTGATCTCCAAAACCCATGTACTGTTTTTGTAGCCATTTGGGTTTGGCTAACTTTATCATCTTTCAATCAGCACTACAATCCAATCAATACCCACATGACAAAATTGCATTCACGGAGAGAAAAGAAGAGAAATAAAGCAAATGAACTTGCATTTGCATATGCATACACAGAATCTTAGGCCAAAGTTCTGTCCCTCTCTTTTGATCCATATTTAATTTCCACAAGTGGGGAAAGAAGGAAAATTAGAGAGAGAGTTTTGTTTTGCCCTGGTCCAGGAATCTGCTTTCTCTTTTTATTTTGATTTTGATTTTGGGTCCCTCCCCCTTCAAACGCGGCCGCCATTGATGAGTAAATCAAGCTCTGCAACTGCAGCTCCACCCCCATCGGCGAAACCCACATGGGTCCTCCCTTATCGGACCCAACCCCTCACCGATTTCTACACCCTCGGCAAGAAGCTGGGGCAGGGCCAATTTGGCACCACTTTTCTGTGCACAGAGAACCGAAGCGGCTACAAATTCGCCTGCAAGACCATCCCCAAGCGGAAGCTTGTGTGCAAAGAGGACTATGAGGATGTTTGGAGGGAGATTCAGATAATGCACCATCTGTCTGAGCACCCCAATATTGTGAGAATCAAGGGCACCTACGAGGACGCCATATCTGTGCACTTGGTGATGGAGCTGTGTGAAGGGGGGGAGCTTTTTGATAGGATCGTTCAGAAGGGGCATTACAGTGAGCGAGAGGCGGCCAAGCTTATTGGGGTTATTGTGAGTGTTTTGGAGTCTTGTCATTCGCTTGGAGTCATGCATAGGGACCTTAAACCTGAGAATTTTCTCTTCCAAAGTGTGGAGGAGGATGCTGCTCTTAAGGCCACTGATTTTGGCCTCTCTGTCTTCTACAAGCCAGGTTGTCCTTTTGGGGGGTTCCTTCCCCTTTCTTGTGCTGATTTCTTTCCCTTGCCTTACTCCATTTTGGCATTTTGATCAATTTGTTTCTCTGGCTTTTTGGATGTCTGTTGGTGTTTGAATCCATAGTATGAAATTTTGTTTGTGGTGGTGATGTTGATTTGAAAGTTTTTTTTTTCCTTTTAAGAATGATGAGTTGGAGCTTTGCTCCCCTGTACCCAGGGGATATCCACATCCGTCCGAAGGCATAGAACCAAGAGATATCAAGGGTTTTTGGTATTAACCTCACTAGAGATTCGAACTTGAAACTTCTAAGTCGGATCATGAAAGTTTGAAACACTTAAAGGGTCAAGATAAATTAAATCGGCATGCTAAGTGGTTAACGTATATTGAAATGTTCCCTTATCTGATTAAGTATAAAAAGGGTAAGGAGAATGTAGTAGCCGATGCTCTATCTTGGAGGTATGCGCTAATTTCTACTTTAGACACAAAACTCCTTGGATTTGAGCACCTTAAACCATTGTATGTTAATGACCCTTTCTTTAGGCCAGTATGATCAAGAGACCAAGCCCTTGCTGACTGGGTTGGCCCTTGGGCTCATGTTCCCTTACCTTACTCCATTTTGATCAATCTGTTTCTCTGCCTTTCTGAATCCATGGTATTGAAATTTTGTTTGTGGTGATCATGTGGATGTTTGAAGAATCCAATGTTTGGGTCAAATTTTTGTTTGTGCCCATTTTGATGTGTTGATTTGGAAGTTTTGAGACCTGGTTTTGGCATTTTGGGGTTTTGGAAACTGATTCTTTTGATGACTGTATTGAATCTTGTATATGGGATTTGGGTGTTGTGGTTGATCTGTTGTGGACTGGCCCTCTTTTCATCTTTTTGTCTACAAAAAATCAGTGGACATTGCCAAGACACAGAGGTCTCTTCTTCCTGCTTCTAAGTTGTCTTGTTTTGTTATGCACAGGTTTGCTGTTTTGCTTCTGAAATCTTCTGTTTAGAATTTGATTTTGTTTGTTCCTGAAAGGCTGCTAGATTTGTGTCAAAATAAAGAAGAATTACATTATCTCATTGAGATTCTGTTATCGTTCGGAATTACACCGGATTGGTCTTTGGCATTGAATAAGCAGAGGCTGCATACAAACAAATAGGATTAACCCTGAAAAGTTAAAGGACTAAAGTAAATCGATTGGTAGTCGTTATAATAATGTGGACTATCATTTGGCATTACGCTGGATTGGTCTCTAACGTTGGATCTCGATTGGTTATCATTTCTTCGCGATCAATTGAATGAATGGAAATTTTCGCGGTTCCTATCCATGGGACGACCAATAGAGTCACTAAAGTAACAATCAAGACTCCTTATTGAATCAAGTTCACAGTTGGTTATCGTCTCCTTTACATTCTTTAGAACTTCTTGTGATCTTCTAACATTACTTAAAATGTTTATAGGGGAAACTTTTTCTGACGTTGTCGGTAGTCCATACTACGTTGCACCAGATGTGCTACGCAAGCATTATGGACCCGAAGCCGATGTTTGGAGTGCAGGAGTTATCTTATATATCCTACTAAGTGGGGTGCCTCCATTTTGGGCAGGTAGCTACTAGAACTCCATAGGTTTATGAATAAATGACATTTCCAGGAAAGCTTCCGAAAATTATCACTTTCAATAGAGTTTCATTACCGATGATCTTCTCCATCCTTTGTACTACAGAAACTGAAATAGGGATCTTCCGACAGATATTACAAGGACGACTAGATTTTGAATCAGAGCCGTGGCCTGGCATCTCAGGGAGTGCAAAGGATCTTATACGAAAAATGCTTGACCGGAATCCGAAGAGAAGGCTAACTGCTCATGAAGTCCTCTGTAAGTTTCTGTTCCTAGCACTGAGCAATATGACTGACTAATCAGGCTGATATGCTGTATATTGTTATTGTTCTAAGGCTTACATGATTCCAATTCCTCTCTGTATCAGGTCATCCATGGATTGTAGACGACAAAGTTGCCCCGGACAAACCTCTCGACTCGGCGGTATTGTCGCGCCTGAAGCAGTTCTCTGCCATGAATAAACTGAAAAAAATGGCTCTAAGAGTAAGTTTCTCTTGAAATTATTGTTAGTCCCAATTGTTAAGGTAGAAGACTACTGAAGGAATATTTGAAAAGCATACTATGCGATGTACCGTTGTGTTTCTCTTGTCAAATGTACTGGATTTTAAAGCAATTAGTTACAGCCTCGTCAAGAATGTTAATATCTTGGTAATGGCTGTTAATATCTGCAACTGCAAGCGAAAAGATTGCCTGTTATGGTTTCTGAAATCTAACGACTGATTGTAGGTAATTGCTGAAAGGCTTTCTGAAGAAGAAATTGGGGGTTTGAAAGAGTTGTTCAAGATGATAGACACAGATAACAGCGGGACGATAACTTTTGACGAACTAAAGGAAGGATTAAAACGTGTAGGCTCCGAACTTATGGAGTCCGAGATCAAGGATCTAATGGATGCAGTAAGAATTGAGCTTTCTTCTATTTATATATGTTTACTTTAGTTCTTCCGTGTTGTCGTTCAAGCTGGTGATGTTTGGCAGGCAGACATCGACAACAGTGGAACTATCGACTATGGTGAATTCCTCGCTGCTACAATTCATTTGAACAAGTTGGAGCGAGAAGAGAATTTGTTATCGGCCTTCTCATATTTTGATAAAGATGGTAGTGGTTTCATAACTATCGACGAGCTTCAACTAGCCTGCAAAGAGTTTGGCTTGAGTGATCTGCATCTAGACGACATGATCAGTGAAATCGACGAAGACAACGTAAGTTTTTCGTACACCTTACTCATTTTTCTTCGGCATACCTGCATTTGACCATATGTTTCAACTTCCAATCAACAAGTTAAGATCGATGATTCCCCAAATTTCGATGCATTTGCATTATTTGGTTGTTGAAGTTTGTCGTTCTTGCTTTCCCTCCCCTGTTATCTGTCCTAATTCATTAACTCTCTTTTTCTCTGCACTGATGAAACTTCTTTGATTCTGTTCGGGTATTCTGCAGGATGGGCGTATAGATTATAGCGAATTCGCAGCGATGATGAGAAAAGGCAACGGAGGAGTTGGAAGGAGGACGATGAGAGGGCCAATGAGTTTAGGCGATGCTCTCGGCCTATCGACAAGTGCTAATAACCAATCTATTGATAATCCTACCTGAGATGCTTAAACATTTTACTTGTCTGTAACTTGGAATTTTCCAACAAGAGCTGTGATCTTATTTATGGTTCCATAAACTTATCAACAAAAGAAAAACTATCCCTTGCTGGAAATTCTCCTTTGAGCAACAGAAATTCAAATGGAAGATATCAGATCATAACAGCTAATGCAACAGAGTGTAAAAGATAATTGTCATTATATTTCTTAGTTGAAGCTACAAAATGTAATATATCGAAAAATAGTCAGGAGTAGAGCTACGTTTATTCAGTGCTATATCACAATTCATTCATTTTCAGACATGATTCACGAAACGTGGCATGGGACATCTGTCGGAGGCAAGAATCTAACATCCGAGCGAGAGGTCGAAAGAAGTTGTTCGTAACTACTACAACTTGCTGGAGATGGCAAGGTACTTGGTGTGGCGACCCTGAGCAACAATTTTACCATTGCTTTTCTTCCTCAATTCAACATTGACCACTGCAATGGTCTTTCCCATTCGCAAAACCTTGCTCTCGATCTCGATCTGCTCCTGAAATGAAAGACAGAAAGTAGCATACAAACTAAATCACTATATTTTTCTTCTGTATATAAAGAAACTATAGCTTTAATTAGAACAGCACAGGGAAAACAAAAAATTATAGTCCGATTAAGAATCCAAGAATTAGAAGTCCTATAATAATGGTCTCTTATTCTTTCATGGATTAGCTATATGTTGCTGATTAAGAATCCAAGAACATGATTCTTTATAATCTATGGAATTCTTTAGCTGTTTATCATCTTGAACTTCAGACAACTCTGATAATAGCACTACTGCGAGCATGTTCTCTTTCACATGGAGTGTCTTGATTCAGTGAATTATTCGACCCACTCTTAAGAAAGCTTACAATGACAAAGTTGATACTTTAACATAATATCCAAATGTCCAAATATTTTCTATTCATTCAACAGAACCAAACTAACATAGTCCAAGTCTTATTTTAACTGAATCCACACATACGTTCCGCGTAAATTTCTCATGAACAGCCAAATCCAATCTTCATCATACCCAAATAACTCACATTTCTTCGATTATTTGCCAACAAATCATGAAAACCCAGATGTTTCCCCCCTTCCAGTGACAGTGAGTGGAAAGGGGATTTTTACACTATTTAAATTACTAGAAAAAATTTATGTGCCGTTGATTATATCATAGGGCAGGCATCTTATCTTATCTATTGACAATTACTGGACCAGTACTTTCAATTTTCTTGTCCGATATTAGGTTAAACAAAATTCGGGACTCGAATCCGATCAATATGCAGGAAAATTGAAAGCCAGAAGAAGAAGAAGGGGAAATGGAACACACATCGAGATAAGCGGCATCCATGTACGAAACATTAATTTCGACGGAGACTCCGGTGGTGGAAACGCCGAAAGTCTTTATCGCTGCGGAACCAATACAATCCACAAGCGCCGCCGTGGCTCCCCCGTGCAAGGAATTATTCTCGTTCTTGAACCACAGAAACCTCAATTAAAAAACAGGAATAGCGAATCGAACGGGTTGCAGAAAATCTCATCAGCAAGTGGTTGATCCACGATCGCGGAAACGAAAAGGAAGTAGAAATTAGAGAGAAGGAAGAAGAGCATACGAGCAATCGAGCGGGTACTTTGAGAGAGCAAACGACGCGACCAGGCTCGATGAGATCAACGCGGAGACCAGTCATGACGAACTGTTCGTAGAATCGGAGGGGAAGGTCATCAATGGCGGACGCAAGGTTCCGATCATCGCCATCGTCGTGCTTCTCCAGGTACCTCTTCGTCTTCTCCATTATCTCTGTAATTAGGTTCTCTCAATCTTCCAATGTTTATTATAAAGAAATGGCCAATTCTACACGTGTATAATACTCTCCACTTAAATATACTAGTTTATTTTCATGCCCGTAAAATTATTTTCGTCCCCGTACTCTCAATTTTGGTTTATTTCAATCTCGGTAGGTTAGAATATTCATTTTAGTTGTTGTATTTTCAAATTTAATTTATTTTAGTACTTGTAATTTTAGTATTTATATTTTTTAAAGTGACTATTTTCATCCCTTGATTTTAATTTTAAACTCATCACAATTTCTTTCATTTCCATTTTTATCTCATTTATTTCAATTATAATTTTAACATAACACTTCATTCACTAAATTTCTTAAAACGTAGTCATAAGTTTGTATTAAAGGAACTATATTTTATATAAAATTAGTATTATAATTTTGTAAATAGGGACCTAATTGGTCATTTTCAAAAGTATAGAAACTAGAACGGATGTAGCTAAATAAACAAAAGTTGAAATTACAAAAACCAAAATGAATTTTTTGAAATTACTGGACCAAAGTGAACCAAAGCTAAAAATATGTAGACCAAAATAGTATTTTAAATTTATTTTTTAAACTTAACTTTGGTAAAATACATTTTTTGTCTTTTAAGTTTGGACTTGGTTTCTATTTGTCCCTGAGTTTTAAAAAACCATCAATTTTGATCCTTGAGATTTAGACTTAGTTTCTATTTTATCTTTTAATTTTAAAAAGTGACATGTTTGGTCTTTGAAGTTTAAATCTATGTTTTAATTGGTCCATGAGGTTTGAGTTTGGTTTCTAATTGGTCTCTAAGTTGAGTTGATTGTTAGTTGACCTAATGAAATGGTGACGTAGCAATTAACCTAGACAACAAGAATCTCTCAAATGACTCAATAAGAACGTCAATAAATCTGGTTTGGCTACCGAAAAACTTGTTGATTCTCATTGTAAATTAGAACCTAATCAATTTGAATGTTAAACTATAGATGAACGAAGAGAAAGAGTCGTATTGCTGTTTGACTAGTGGAATAAATGAACGAGAAGATAAGGGAGGGAGGAAAAGGAGGGAAAATATCAATTAGGGAAAAGAGAATAATAAAATGATAAAATTTA